TAGGCATTTTGGCACAAAATCATTGGCTTTTCGTCATCCACAACGATTTCTTTGCCTTGTAGTGAAACAGACTGGATGTCCACCTCGATGCATATTTCCCCTCAGCGACCGATAGAATAACGCGGTCGTGCTTTCATTGCCAGGTAACTGTATCTACGCTGCGATAGGATCCTGGGAGCCTCATTGACAGTAGGAGTATTGAATTTCGGTTGCTCCATGGCGGCCTCATCTCCCGCACACTTCTCTTCCCTGTTAACCCGGCGTCTTGATCTCCCGAAGAGTAATGCCATCTTGTTCGATGGATAGAATAGGGTAGGCGAGGTAGATTTGATCATGGTGCTATCCTTAATAATGCTGTTATAGGAGAGCCGTGGGCGATAATCATGCAGAGGCTTCCATAACGGTGTCGCAGTATCAGGCTGGTCGTTCCACTTACATATAGTCAAGGATGATGAAGCCCATGACCATCGACCGCCGGGGACACAAGTGGACATGGCTCAAAAATTCCAGATGCTACCTGAGTTCCATTGAACGAATTCCACGGTCAAAGCTTCGAAGCGATAATACAAGCATAGAGTGTGAAGAAGATATACTCTGGAGTATGAATGAGAGATTCCTGCGAAGATCGTATCCGAGTATCGAAGGCTTACTCTGCAGCAGTCTTCATTTCTTTCTTTCTTTTTCTTTTTTTTTTTTGATCCTTGGATGCAATCGATCGGTCTATTTCCGCATTAGACAACCATGGTACAGATTACGGGAAAGGAGAACATTTGTGTTTTGAGCGAATGAAACAGTTTTGGTTGCCTATTTTCCATCTGGATTGGGGAAAGTAGGATAGACCGAGTTGTCGCCCAGGATTACGCGCATCAAGAATAGTAGCATGTCGATTGTCGATTGTTTGCAGATCCGCTCTTGAGGCGGGGCTACAGGGCTGAGCCACTCCCCGAGTCAAGTAGACGACGCGTCAGGAGCATTGTTATTATTGGTGAAAGAGAACAAGAATAGGGGGGAAAGATGGGCAACTGGCGAAGGAGGTGGTGGTGACTCCGCGCAAAGCTAAAATAACTTAACTTCAGTACACTACAACTTTATCTCTCCTTCTTTCGCCCCCCCTCTTACTTTTCCCATGTTAACTTCCATCTTAACCCTTCCCCCCCCCGACCTTTATTTTATTTTATTTTATTTTTCTTTTTCTTTTCCCCTCATCCATCAGTATTGTATATCCTACCCTAGACGGATCCGTGCGAGAGAGGGGGATCTTCAAAGAAATACCAAGAACGTCCAAGACTAGTCGACAATCTCGGCATTGGCCCGACAAACGTCATTGTCCTGCCTCAGACTCACACCCTGTTAGGCAGACGGATTTTGTTCTCGGCCAGGAACCACCGTTGCTTTTGTACCTTTGGGCCCCATTCTCTTAAATAGAAAGCCCTATAAGGCTGATGGTCTTCTAATCTGGGGCTTACACTCTTCGAACAACCACATTCATCATGCATGCGGAGAATCCTCGACAGACTCCCGCCGAAGTCAGCTCGGTCGGACCACAGTCAGAGTCCGCCCTACCTGGGCAGATTCTCACCGGAAAACAAGAACATTGTCGGTTAATTCCCATTCTTGATAGATTTCCAAATGTGCCCAACTAGCTAATCAAATGAATGACTGATACATAGACCTTAAACGCGAGCTCATTGCCCGCCAAGTGCAAAGCGAAATCGCCGAGCTAAACTCCCCCACGGCCCTCCAACGTTTCGGCGCCCCGTTCAGATCTGAGTACGGAGAAGTCGCCCCGGTTGACTCAGAACTCCCCATCCTTCGATATATATTTGTTCATCATGTGCGCAATTTTCCCTTTCTCGACCAGGCCCGCGAGAAGGAGTTTTGGCAGGATAAATTGCAAGTGGTGAGTGTGGATCCATTCACTAGGGGCAAGGATGAAGGAGACTGACGGCACCCGTAGTTCCTAGAATCATTCGCGAAGAAGCATGTTTCGTCGTCCGAAGACCGCCTAGAGGAGACAAAGCGCAGAAAATTGGCAAGGAAGTGCGAGAAGCTCGTAGAGCTCATGATGGTATCAGGTATCCCAACGGCCTCAGGGTATGAAGAACGAATCCAATTTTCGGAAATCGAGGTCGTAGATCGCGGTGCCAACGACAATGGTCTGTTGGTTAATATGCCGGAAGGGAATGCCATACACGGCTGGGATGTCAATGTGGCTGCCGTAAGAATTACGTCTGTCAGGCGAACCGTGCGGTATCATCAGCATGCTGTGAGGGAATAGCCCTCCCTGAAAACTGAGGGATCTATGGCTAATACTGGCGCTAGGAATTCATTCTTCGTGTTCGTCGGGAAGGAAAGTCGGACGTCTTTGTGGCCCGGCGGTACGGTGACTTTGCGAAGCTCCACAAGAGGCTGCGCACCGAATTTCCCGGAAAGCCACTCCCAGTTCTTCCGCGCAAGAACAAGTCCTCAACGTCGTCGAGCTTTTTCTCCTCAGTCGACGACGATGCCTCTTCGGTCTCCTCTCTATCCAGCCAGAGTGCAAGTACGCCGGACGAGGGCCAAAGTTCTCGAAACAGCTTAGCCCCTGGAAACCATCTGCATCGCTCTGCGTCGCGGTCGTCCATGCGCTCATCTTTGGGAATATCCCCCAAGTCACCGAGACTTTCAGCAGACACCTCTCGAGAGACCGTGCTCTATAGAGAAGAACAACGGGTTTCGCTTCGAGCGTTCCTTCGCACTTTACTGCAGAATAAGCGGGCGGCAGAGTCAAAGGCTTTAGAGGAGTTTCTAACTGCAGAACCTATTACTCTGAATGAAGAAGAACTAATTGACATGCAACGACGGAAGGAGGCAGATGCTATCAGGATCGAAGAACAGAAGAAGTTCTATGAGATCGCTAGACAGCGCGCAGCAGAGCTAGATGTGTACATGGAAAACTTCCGTCGAGATATTGTCGAGAGCAGTAAGTGCAAACTCTCTACTTGTTAATTCTCTCATGCTGACGGGGATGATTCCTTTGTAGATGGCCTGACGAAACTGTTTGCGGAAATTAGAGAGAAGCCAACGGTAGAGGATCTCAGTCCTCAATATCAGAAGTTTGCAGAATGGCTTCGGATCGAGTACGTATTCTTTCATCACTGTGCTCATTACTTTTACGGTTGCTTACAAAGTCTAGGGTTGCCGCAACGCTGTACCATTTGTTCTTGGCCGAGGACAACTCGCCTGAACTATTCGCACAATTCAAGAGGATACACTCTCTTGTCCCATACACATTGATGAAGAATGTTATCCGAATTGCGAATCCTGCAGCCGTTATGTCTGGAGTTTTGGATCTTTTCCTTGCTCAACCATTTGGCTCACGGTCTCTTCTGCAGCGGATCTTTTCCATGACTCTGAACGATGGCATCAAACAATTCCAAAAGGCCATTGACTCACTTGTTTCCAAGGTTGATGATGCATCTCTCTGTCAGAAATTGAAGGCGTTCACAGACTCGGATGAGGAAACCAAGAATGAGATCCGTGCCGAGGCTGAGGATGAAGATATAGATATTCTCGTGGCAATTCTTCGGTCGGACCGCTTCTCTCCCGAACTCACACCAGAGCAATATGGTAATGTATTCAATGCATACGTAGCCTGGAACCAGGCGGTGGAGAGCGTCGATGCAGAAATGCGTGAAGGTGCACAATGGTTTGCCAACATGAAGCAGCTACTTAAACTCTACACGCGCCAGCGTGACAAGGCCATGATGCTCAGCATCGTTGAAGAGCCTGTTACCCTCCAACTCTTCCGCGACTTATTCACAATATTCTACGAGCCGCTAGTGCGCGTTTATAAGTCGGCAAACGTTTACAATAGTATCACTGATTTCGCTCAATTTGCCGACGACGCTATACAGGTGGTTGAGAAATGTCAGCGACAAGATGTATCTGCCGATCCAAACCAAACGGTTCAGTCCTTCATCGATCTTTGCGAACGTCATCAAGCGAGCTTTTATAAGTTCGTTCACGAAGTGCACCTTCATGACAATGGACTCTTCGGCTCTCTGATGGGATGGATTGAAGATATTCTTGATTTCCTACGCCACGGGCCTGTTGGTGGCAAGCTTGACATGAACGCCCTGCTTCACGGAGCTAAGGATGTTGGACAAATCGATAAAGATAAGGCCCTCGACGAGATCAATGCACTTATCAAATGGCACGAAGACCGCAAGCGGTGGCACCTGAATAAGACCAGGCAGAAGATGGCGGCAGAAGGAACCGGGAATGACCCATTCCCGACATTTAAGGGAAGCGATTTCGGCTTAGACGAGGTATGTCAAAATTAAAATCGTAATCGAATGGTGAAGTGAGATTCTAACCCTCCGCTAGGGCGACCTGGAAGACCTTGCCATCTCGGACGCAGAGTCCGATCCTACCGACGAGCTCGACGAGGAAGATGACCTCGACCCCATTTCTGCTGAACGACGAAGACGGGTCAAGCAACAGGATCAACTCCGTCGCACGGCTGGCGAGCCTGTTAAGCCTGAAGTCCAAGAGATTCTCAAATTAGCCGAATCGTTTGGAGTAATGTTACGGATGGTCCTTGCAGAATAGGCTGGCTACTACTTTGTCGTGATACCCTAGATATTCTTTTCGACAACTTTTGTCATCATGGGTTTTTGTTGATTTCGCAGCTGTTGTAGACAAAGACGAGCATTTCTCAGCTGTGTGGCACTTGATTGTATTGTTGTTTTAATTCTACATCACCTCATAGCATAATAGAGAAGACCTTTTAATGTTTCATCAGTTTCGTTCCAGTGAATGACAAGATGTACTGTGCAGAACAAACTACTGCACTAAGGGGTCGGGAGCCGTGGTTGACAGCGGGCACTAAACCCCTCTGATCCACCTGCAGCGACACCGTCCGAAGATGGTTTCCATAGCGACACAAAGCATACATACATCTGTAGCGGCGCATCTCTCTACCTTCAACTCCATACCATCACTGCTTCGTCCATACCATGATATCCCCCCAGAAGAATAACAACGGAGCTGCATCGCCTCGTGCCTCCATCCCCTTGCGAGGTCTGTTCCGCGATGGTGTGTGGTGCTGCAACTGCAAAGAACGCCCCCCAGCGGTCAAATTACAGACCAAGAACCATGGCATAAATCATGGAAGATGTTGTAGGGCTCCTTGCCTCTTGCCCGTCTGCTTCAAATAGCGTTGAACTCGAATCGCAGCTCTAACAAACAATAGTCTACACTTGTCAACGACCCCAGCAACAGCGCTGCAACTTCTTCCTCTGGGCAACTGACGCCGAAGTCCGCGAAAAAACCGCCGTTCTATCAAGCTCAAGAACAGAGCCGCAGTATATGCCCCAGACACCCACCAAGGCCTTCCGACACGAAGGAACGGGCCTTCTCACCCCACAGACCGACCGTCCACTGCGACACGCTCCTGGGTCCGGGTCGAGGAATCTTCAGACCCCCTCAAAAAGCGCCAAGGCGCGCATGATGACAGAAGACTCGGATGAGTTCGAATGGGATGATACTATTGCGGACGAAGCCACTACAGCGCAGCATAGGCCTCGCCAGCCGGACTTTGGGCATGCTGCTGGTGGCTCGGATTTTCTCCCACGCAAGACGCCCCGGACGGATTCGTTTACCTCGCCCAGTAAACGGAAGCTGTCTGATATGGAGAGTGCACCGTCCCCTACGCCTACTTCAGTGTTTTCTCCCCGGTCGACTGCATGTCGACTTCCTCCGGCATCAGCTGAGATCTCGGTGACTCCTACGCCGAGCAAATATAAGAATGCGCTATCTGCTGATTTTGCGGCGGATACGTCAGAGTTATCACTTCAGGCCTTGAGGATTTTGGAGAGCCATAATGCGGTCGTGCCGAGGAAAGCTCAGGAAGAGCTCACCGAGTTATTAAACAGATATGACCTGAAAACCAGAGGCATAATACGAGGACGGGATATCTCGCGATTTGCAATCAAGAAGAAAGATGAGGAGATTATGGAGCTTAATGAAAGGATTGCAGTGCTAGAGTCGCAAAGGGAATTGGGTAAGAGCATGGCTAATGGTTCAGGGAGGCAGTAGTGCTTATTGTGGAATTGTGAAAGCAATAGTGAGATACCCCAGCTTGTTTTTAGGCACTTTTTACTTGCATCCTCTTTCGGGTTTGTATGTAAATTATACTGTTCGGTTTAGAGCGATCGTTGCTAGCATTTATTTTTGTTGTCCAGCGCGGACATCTGCGCTCGGGTTACGTATCTTAATCATACGGAAATGGCGATAGGCTCCTTATGTCAAGGCTGCCTTTTCTTTTGTTCATTCTTTTCTATCCAACCATCGCGACAAATGGCCAGTGAACCCCAGTCTATCTAGTAAGTTGTAGATCTTATCCAGATCTAGTATCTATACATTTAGTTATCACAGTCACGTGCTGATAAATCGCAAACACCCAAAATCACAGCCCAAAATTAGCGGACCAGAAAAACACATTTCTGCGAAATAAAGCCCACAGCCCAAGCAAACGATGCCCTGTCGCCCGGTAGCCTCAGCAGTCTTTCAATAAATTTATAGCTCTCGACTATCAGACAATCTTCGTCCATGGAATCCACGACAGCCCCTAACGCCTCCAAGACGCCTAACAGCGACCTCCCCACCATGTTCCGACCCCCCGTGAACCGTGCAATGCGGGTTCTGGATCGCTCATTCTTCAATAAGACGGTGCCCCTATCTGCCGCGACGGTTTTCAAGTCCTCCGATATCTCGAAGGTGCGCGGACAGCTGCAAAAGAGTCGGGATTTGCTGGCCGTTCCGAGAATTAGTTCGGTTCGGGACGTAAAGGTTAATGATGAAGTGAAGAAATGCTTGTTGCTGAAGGAGGGTATTAAATATGATGGTTAGTCTTCTGGCTGTGCCTTTTGGGGTACCTGTGTGAAGTCTGGTGTTGATGTGTGGTAGATGCTACAACATGGTCGCCAACGATCAATGAGCTTGTGGAGAATGGTGCTGTTGGAATTGGGCGGTATGATTTCGAATTGGACTATGATTACTGGACGTATGGTAAGTGCCACATTGAATGTGTTTTTGAAAGGGACTGGAGCTAATCTGTTATGTTCTAGCCGATATCATGAACGCAATTCTGCCGGAGGACATGCTTGAGGAGCTTCCTCAAGGGTTCACCCAGGTGGGCCATGTCTGTAAGTCTACTGTCTCCCATCTGCACTTGTTTCCTCAGGTCTGACAAGAATTAGCTCACCTGAATCTCCGCGAACAATATACCCCCTATAAGCACCTTATTGCCCAGGTGTTGAAAGATAAGAACCCAACAATCCGGACAGTGATTAGAAAGACCGAAGATGTGGGCGCCCACAGCGAATTCCGCACATTTCCCTTCGAGTTCTTGGCCGGCGACGAGGAAATGAACGTTGTCCAACATGAGCAGGGCTGTGAATTCCGTTTTGACTACTCTCGTGTGTACTGGAACAGCCGCTTGGAGACCGAGCACCGTCGACTCGTGAACAAATTCCGCCCGGGTGAGATGGTTTGCGATGTGATGGCCGGTGTTGGCCCGTTCGCTGTCCCAGCTGGCAAAAAGAAGATTTTCGTTTGGGCCAATGACCTTAACCCGCATGGATATGAGGTCATGCAGGATGCTATTCGCAGGAACAAGGTCAACCAATTTGTGACACCGTTTAACAAGGACGGAAGAGCGTTCATCCGCTGGTCTGCCAATGAGCTCTTGCAAACGGAACCAGTGACCGTAGCTATCCAAAAGAAACAGAGAAGGAGCGCCCAAAAAGAAGAGCAGGTCCCTGCTCCCCCAGCGGAGGTCTATCATCGACCCACTGTCTTTGGTCACTACGTGATGAACCTTCCGGCGAATGCTCTCGAGTTTCTTGATGCATTCCCTGGTCTCTATGCTGGCAAGGAATCCTTATTTGCGCCGCATACATCTACACCTCTTCCAATGGTACATGTGTATTGTTTCTCTGGTCATTCGGAAGATGAAGTGGACGACCACAAGGATATTTGCCAGCGCATCTCGGAACGAATTGGCTACACCATCACGCCGGAGGATCGAGTCGGGGGAAGTGGAAACGCAGAGCTGGAGCTAGCCATTCACAATGTCAGATTGGTTAGTCCCAACAAGCAAATGTTCTGCGCTAGTTTCCGTCTACCTAAAGAGGTCGCTTTCCGACAGGTATAGTGCGGAAAGTTGCATATAAAGTCATCGCATTGCAGGAGGCGTTCGGGCCGTGAATAGATTATGGATAGACCAAGAAATAGTCAATCTGACATTGATACCCTTTCCGCTCAATGTTTTACTATATAACTACGAATACAACGTGAACTTTCCTTCGCCCATGTTGATGTAGGTCTTATCACTATCCAAAGGCGGCGACTAAGATACCGCCTTTTACTGCCCACGCAAAACTCCGCCCGCAAGAGTTCTCCCGGTCCCGCATCAAAGTCAACAACCCTGCCTAAACAGCTTCCAGCCTCTGGACACTTATAACAGTCAACTCGACGGTCATCAAAAGGAAAGGCCCACTGTATCAGTGCATCACGCGATCTCAGACACGGTACCAAAATGAGCGTCCAATTGCCACCCCCAACACATCGCAAGCGCGCCTTGCCCCAAGGCGAGCTCGAAGCCGCCTCGACTCTCAGACTAGGCGCGGACCAGAATACCCATACCTTGTCGCTTTCCGAAGCAAGACTCGTCATCAACAAAGTACTGGAGAACAAGCGCAGGGGTGGAAAGAAATACGAGGAGCCGGAGTGAGTGCCGGAAGTCGACCGGTGTCATCACGATACAGAGGAATACCATCATGCTCACATGCGTCTTACAACTTAGGAACCTTACCAAGACCCTGGACTATCTGGAAGTATTTGCTCGGTTTAAGGATGAGGAAAACATCAAGGCCGTCGAACGACTGCTCAATTCGCATACGGAGTTGGAGATGTTCGAGCGGTCACAACTGGGTTAGTAACTTTTTGTTGTTTGCTTTTTTTCCCCCTGCTTAGCCTGTGGCCTCTGGCCTTCCATTTTTTTTTGAGGTCATTTCAACCGAGCCGCTTTCTGCCGTTAATCTGCATGTACCCCGTAAGTCTAACCAGGAGACAGGGAGTTTGTGCTGCGATAATGCCGAGGAAGCCAAGTCCCTCATCCCCAGTCTTCAACACAAAATCTCCGATGGCGATCTGCAAGAGCTCTTGGACGAGCTGACCAAGCTGCGGAATTTCACGGAGTAAACTGTTATCGCTGTTTCCTATCGGACCATACTTCCTCCTTTCGCATCTTTTTTTTTTACCTCATTTTTTGGCTGGCTTTTTGTTGGTCTGTAGCATGGAGTTTTGGAGTTGAAGTTGATCCGGAAAGCATGTGATGTAAAACTGCACGATTACCACATAATGCAGATGATATAATAGACATCTATAAGAGTGTTGGGGTCGGGGATAAGGGAGACAATGCTGACGGCCTGATAAGAGCCGGGGTTGCGTCGCGTTGGGGAGATAGTGAGGTGACATCGCATGCATTCCTGAAGAGTCACAACCAGTTGTCCAGAGCTAGATAACAAGCTAGCTAGCCTCGGGAGTGAAGAGATTTGATAATGATAAACTCCCGCCGATAACTCATTGGTTCGACCCGAGGGCATCTGAAAGTTTGTGGTGCAGGTGTACGCATGCGCTTCCGAGCCCTCATTATCATCCATAAATATTAAGTAATGAAATCTTGGCTCCTGCAAATGACATGCAATGCCTACAGTACGGCTCGAACCTGGTGTCACCGCCCACGGCATACGCTGTGATGGTTTCCCGAACCCTATTTTGCCAAATCAACGCTAGTCCACTTTCGGGATTTTCCCGAAATATCCTTGTCCATGGAGATTGTACGGTGTGGTATCAGGACTGCGGCGGGCTGTATTCATTCGTACCGTAAATACACCTTCATAGTACGGAATACTATGGTTAGAATAGTATATACATCGTCGTCCATTGGAACGGAAGATCATCAACTATCAATATCTACATGATGATAGAATGAGAATGCAACCCAACCTGGCCTCTTCAAAGCGTGAGCTTATCATGTCACTAATTCCACGCTGGAGGCTCGTCCCAGCTCATTCCTTCATACTATATATCGCTGGGCGAGATATTCCCCATCTGAGCCCGATTCACACAGCATCGGCCACTTCTCAGAAGTGATTATTGCTCTCGAGATATTTCACTCGATCCCAGGGGTCCATTCCACTCTTTCACCATGACGCGGACGCCTTGGCTTTCTTTTCTCGGATGGCCATTGAACATATCACGCACAATGTGGACATCATCAATTGTGGTTTTGTACAGCTCCAGATCGAATTCTCTGAAAATTCTGGCGACTACCAAAAGTATTTCAGCCTTCGCAAGGCTATTGGACGGATTTTAGTGCACTATATTAGAGGGATGTCCAAGGAAATATCACATACGGGATGCCGATACACTGCCTCGACCCTTTGCTGAAAGCAACCAGGTACTTTTCGAGGCGTTTCCTTTGCATTGGATCCATCCATCGTTCCGGGATAAAACTTTGCGAATTGGGAAAGATATTTTCGTTATGGTGTATGAACAAGCTCGTCATACCAACCGGCACCTAAGATCGATGGTAAGCGGGAGTAGTTCCAAAAAAAAGGTCATAGGAGAACAAAAACGCTTACCCCAGGAGGGATGATCCAGTCTTTGTACCTCATAGGCTGATCTGGTGAGCTGCGTTGAAGTCGCGTTGCAACAGCGTTGGTGATTCTGCAAACCGAGATGAGTATCCAGATAAAGCGACCTTAGTGAAGAATCGTTCATACCTTAGACCCTCCAACATAACGGAAGTCTAGTATGATTAGCGACCGAATCCTATCAGAGAGTGCGACTTAGACGGAGAGTTCCTACCAGGTAGGGCATTGCCTCATATTCCACTAAGGACGCCGTCCCATCAGGATCTAGCCGATTCAGCTCCTCGCGTAGTTTCTCAAGCTTTTCAGGGTTATTTAGGAGGTAGAAAGTGATTGTGGCTAAATTTCTGGCAGTCGTTTCTCCACCAGCCGCAATGACAGTGAAAACCTCTTGGCTTAAGCGATCAGCTGTCTTTTCTTCCGGTGGTAGCGTGCTTTCTAGAAGAGCATGGAATAAGGTGCCTTTGGGCACGTTTGTTCTGTTCCCAATGGAAATTCTATCCGAGTGTTGGCTATCAATGACCAAGTTAGCCAGGCGCATACTTTCATTTTTCTGGTCGATGACTGGTCCGATGTCAGGATTAACACTCATGACGAGCCATCGTGGGAGTAGCTCAAAGAGACTAATGAACCAGCGGAATTGTTTGAATTGGATACCAGCATGCACAATGGCCTGCATTGTTTTTGACCATTGTGGGCTGAAGTCAGGGTCATCAAGATAGTGAAAGGAGTCACCTATGGTGTATTCCACGACCACGTCTGTGGTGAAAGCATTAAACGGATGATACATATGTAGTGGAGCATGTCTATCCTTCCAGGCGCGCAATCCATCGCACAGTTTGTCAACCATGCCCCGGAGCATTGGCTCGAGTTGTCGGATTCGCTGTTGGGAGAAGAAAGGATTCATCGGTTGACGCCGTATCCGATGGCGCCGGTAGTCCACTGTACCAAATGCGGAAGCTGGTGCTCCAAACATCCCAGTTAGATGTAAGGACTTATCTCGTGGGGCATCTCGAGAGTACAGCGCTTCATAATACTCAGCATCGTCAATGTGTAGCTCGTATGGGCTGATTCGCACGATTGGGCCATATTTGCGATGCATCTCGGCGATCCGAAAAGTGTATTGACCTTCTAGGAATGAATCGTAGTAGAATTCATACCACATTGTAAGGGCGGCCAGTTTGGGTCCCGGAAAGTGAGCAATGGGTGAAAGCCATAGCCGCTGCAGAGCCAGCCAAAGCAGGTAAGCCGCACCTGCGACACTGAAGGAGACGATTACATGCCACCACACCATGGTCAGTCGAGTAGCGAACAGGAAGTATAGAAATCCAACGCAGCCCCGGTAGGCAAGAGACAACAAGGAAAGTCCATCTTTTTGGCGGCCAACAACACTTTCCAAGAGCTAGGACTGCCCCCCTCCAGGAATTCTCAATGACCTTCATAAATTCATACCGTTCGTGGCGCATCTAAACGAGCGGAAAAGAAACCCGAAGTACAGTATTGGGTAAGGAAGAGGTGTTTTGACCCCCAACTGTTCCAGAAATGGACTGTTAGGCTTGGCCCACAATATCTTCCCGTTATCCCAAGTCCAATAGATACTTTTCCATTGCGGACGTGTCAGCCTCGCTTATATAGCCGAAGTCGATAACTACCAACTTCTTTGGATTAAGGTGCATGGTATAAATTCCCCCTTGCTTCACCCCAGAGAGCTTTGTACTGCTCACAGAAAAGCTGCCGCCAAGCAAAGGATTCAACCCATCTCTGGGACCAGGAGGGTGTCCAAATGTATGTAGTCAAGTAAAGAAACGAGCTGATGAAGCCATATTTTCATCTATGGCACAAGAGGATAAGATCCCCTTCGCTTCTTATTCATATTCACTTTGACCGAGCGAGACCTGAAGGCGACGAGTGTAGGCACAGAAGACCATGGGCGGCGAGATACGGACGAATGAATAACCACCAGGAGGGCATCGTTAGCATATCGAACCTTTGCCATGTACGCCAACAATGAAAGCCGTATTATGGTTGACGATGGAGCCAGGATCCTCAGTCTGGAAGTAGTTAACTACAGCTCGGTATGGATCATGGTCATCACAAGGAGTGTGTGCCATCTCCCAAAACAGTAGATGTGAAAGTAACTCATCATCCAGAGATCCAGAAGCTCTGGAGAGAGAAAGCTGCAGTTGATAGGCTGAGTAGCGTGATATGGTGGGTCATGAGTGAGCCGCAAGCAGGCAACATACTAGTAGGAGGTATTCTAAGTCCCTTGTTTGTGCTGTGGGAAGTCCACACCAGCCTTTCATGTGACTTGACTGTATCTTCGTAGATCTGCTAGCACTTGTAGCTACAGTCCCATCAACTGGTTGCCTGTACAGTTGCGTGACATGAGCCAGGTAATATTGAAGTAACGTAACGTATAGGTATTGACGATGGGATATCGATGTTCCGGGACTATCCTCAATTTAGACTAGCTGATCTTGGCATCACTGTTTGAGAAAGAGTAGAACTATATCTACATGTAGCTAGCTGCGAAGGTGCTTAAACGGAAGCGATAAGGTGTAGCCTGGTACCTCCTCGCGTTTGATTGTACCGAGTCACCAATGGTCACGCATCTGACTCGTGACCCAACCTAATGAATCATTGATTTCATCATGCGACAATTAACTACCAAGACACTATGGGTTTATATCAAAATTCTATTGTATTTTTTTTTCGAAAATATATTTATCTTTAGAGAAACCAAAAAAGGCAAAAAAGAAAAAAAAGAAGGAAAAGAAGGAAAAAAAAAAAAGGCAAAAGAAAATAGAAGGAGAAAGTTCCGATCTATCGACTCTTCACCTCGCGATTATTAATAGCGTCGAGAAGGGAACTAGTTCAGTCTCAGGATTTTGCTACGGAGTTATTACCATTTCTCCGTGCCAGGACCTCTTCGCCGCCGCAATGGTGCCCAATGGTCATCCACCAATAGTCGGACATAGATTTGCTGACGAGGGCAACCTCGATTCAAAGCATGGATTCTCCCCCTTCCTCCCCGTGCAGCAAGCGGCTAACCCACATGGGGCTTAAGAAAAGATGTGGGGAAAAGCCGCAGAGCTGCAGGGCCGATCCCCGTTGCCGGTTTCGCACTAAGCCGATTCTGCCTGAATACACAGGCTGTGATTGGTGAGGGATGGCGTTATCGGGTGGCGATGATTGGTGGATGCGGCTGAGTCATGATGGTCCGGATATTCATTTTAATTCGAATCGGGTTAAAGGCCAGGTGAACGATGACCTTGCTGCAGCAAAGATCTCTTGTTCATCATGCTGTCGTCGGTCGATATTAATATCGGCCAGTATGACTGGGTCGGATAGCCATTAGATAACATTTACCGAGGAAAGGCAGTCCTGCGATCCCAAATTCAAAAACCAGACCTTCAACGCTTTTGTTTTTGGGTGCCCCGATCCACCCTGGGATTTTTCAGTACGTAATATAAAAAGACGAGGTCGGCAAGAAGCATGATCGCGACCCAATCAGCTGGACCAGGCTTATCTCTGGTCGCTTGTGCCAATGAACTTCATTTCACAGTTAAGCAGGAACCAGAGCAGCGGGCGAACATGACGTCCAACAACCGTGTATTCTGTTACGTGTGGGAAATCCTTCGTATGGAGAGTTCCGGAATGGGTGTCGCTGATCCAAACCATCTTTCATGATTTCTCTTATTGATCCTGATGACTACCACCGAAGCACGGCAGATGGACTTCATCTGGGTATACGATTCTATTACTTGATCAGTTTTCGCCTTCCGTCACCCTCTTTTTACTTACTCCCTTCATCTCCCCCTTCGTTTGCTTCTCCATTTTCTTCTCCTCTCCCTCTCTCTCTCTCTCTCTCTCTCTTTCTCATCGTGGTCTCAGATTAAGGAACCAGTTTTGAATTATTAGTGGATCGGAGACCTTTTAGATGTGTTGATCGCGCGGACGGTCCACTTTGCTGATATTGCGTGCTGCGCGAGAGAAACTCTGATACTATCAATTTTCTCATTCCAATTATAAGATTATCTTTTATCATTGACCATTATCAGTGATTTGATTCGCCTTTGATTCAATTATTTGATTTTCTTTGTCCACAGCCCAACCCCCAACCCCCAGATATCTGATATTGAATTACTTATTCCGATTATCTTTTGGCCTCCGGTTCCGCTCCCCGTCTGTACTTCCCCCCCCCCCCGACGTATCACCACTGCCCATTGCACCACGACATTTGGAGCGAAGACTCCCCTTTGCCTTCCTTCAACTTGTCTTCTGATAAGCTTCTCCGCTACCGTTCGCACGTCCATTCAACCATTCCATTTTAAGTCGTCACCCCATTGGTGGGCTCGTGGTCGATCGTCAGCCTGGCCTCCCGGACGTGTGTACCTAGAACACTAGATTCCTTCGTCGCCTCCAGACCAGCCTGAACCCCAGATAACCCAGTATCTTGGGGATCCTGGTCTGTGTCCCAGCTATTGCGGAGCTCCTTGGCGGAGTCCCCGACTGTCCCGGTTGCGTTACGTGACTGATTTCCCCTTTCGAGCCCTATCACGGCTCTTATTCGTGAGAGATTATCTCCTATCTCTCGATCTCACCCTACCCATTATCTATCTCTCTCCGTCCCCTTGTTGGCAGACCCCTTGCTGAATGGCTGCCGTTATCACGTTGCAGTCGTCCTCGACGACTGTACCGGCGGCTTCTGCTGCTTCGTTCCAACCGTCAGACCAACTGCTTCGATCTCGTGTACAAAACCAACCGTCTCAGCAACCAACCGCCACGCCCCTGTCGCCTTCCACATCCATTGCTGCCTTACCCCGAGTGCCTGTACCAGGTCGGGATGGGCAAAGTTGTGACGCCTGTCTGCGCAGAAAGAGTCGGTGTGCCATGAACGAAATGGTCAACAAATGCTACTCGTGCGATTTTCATCGTCAAGATTGCACATTTACCCTCTCCGTGACGAGTCGCCCGAGTACGGCGGATGTACAGTCCAAAAAGCGAAAGCTGGATGATATTGTCCTGGATGATGTAGAATCGCCCAAGAGGTATGGACTGCCCCAGCCTTAAGTGGGCATCGAAGGCCGATCTCGGACGTCATATAGATAGACCTGGAGACACTAATCCTTTTCCCGCTGACAGACCTTCGACCAACCCCCCGGTTTCCAAAACTAACCTTGCTCGTTCGCCATTGAACATTCAAGCCCGGATCACAGCAGGGTATTGCTATCAGCGAACCCAACACATCGGTTTGACCACCGACTTGGAGCCCGCCCTCCTCGAATTTCTCCCCTTGGACCAGAACCACGAAGGTATCATTGCGTCGTCCCGGGTACGAAAGTTCGGTGACGACGGCACCTTTATGCGGATGGTTAACACCTTGTCCCATGCGGACTCCCCGCAATCTGCCTCCCTAGATGCCATTGAGAGCCTAGTTGCCCCCTATGGCTCCACTTTGATTGATAAGTTTTTCGAACATATTCACCCAACCTTCCCCATTCTTATGGAGGATTCGTTTCGTCACTCTTACCGCGCTCGACAAGGCTTGTCGCCTCTTTTACTATCCGCTGTCTACGTGCTAGCATTGAAATTTGTGGATGTGGGACCGGCTTCCCAGTCTGTACGACGACCAGATGCTGCTCGTCTGGAGAGCACGGCCTTGAAGCTACTAATCGAGTCTCTGCCCTATGCATCTATCTCCACCATCCAAGCGGGCGTGCTCCTGATGGAGAAGTCTACGATCGCCACACACGCGTTGAACGCGCAATTGGTCACCGCCGGCTTCGAGCTAGGGCTTCATCAGGATTGTTCTGGATGGCGGATGGAGACTTGGGAGAAGGGTCTTCGGAAACGTCTTGCCTGGGCATTGTATATGCAGGACAAGTGGTCCGCGTTGGTGCATGGTCGTCCATCCCATATCGTATCCTTTAACTGGACGGTACAAGATCTGGTCGAACAAGATTTCGCTGAGGCATTCCCGTCTCATGACTCTCAAGACGACGACCCCGTGGGTCACGGTCCCCTCTATTTCTGTCACATGGTCGCCTTGACGACAATCCTCTCCGACATCTTGGATCGCTTTTACACCTTGCGCGCGATCGAAGAGTTCAAAGCTGCCGGTGGCAACCGGACGCGTATGATCTTGGAACGCGCCAAACCAGCACAGATCCGGCTAAAGGAATGGTTCGGACGTCTACCGGCAGAGCTGAAAATGGAGTCTGGCGGGGACCTTTTCGAAGTCATTAACGAGGACAATGCCCGTAACGGCGCCTTGCACCTGTCCTACTTCGCCACAGAAATCACCCTCCACCGCTGTATTGTGCGGTCTCTCTCCCCAAATACCGCCGATGCTTATTTGTCGCACATCTGCCGCTCTGCCGCCAAAACACGATTGATCTCGGCCATGGACTTTGTGAATCGGCTTCGGCCACCGCACCTAAGGTCGTTCTGGCCGGCTGCATCGCGGACCAACTTTGCTCTGATCGGATCCTTCGGCGTCCTCCTGCGTATCACATCCCCAACTAAAGAGGAAGCTGAGTTCTATCGTCTCCGGCTCTGCGAATACCGCTGGACGCTGAGCGTCAGCAAGAAGAACGCCGAGTTCATGGAGTTCGCTCTGGACAGCCTGGACAACGCCAACACTCTCGATCAGCATGTGCCCGAGAAACCGGGCATCGACGAGTTGATGACTAGCGCGGCCAAGCCGACCGTGACTCAACCCCGTCCAGGCACAGCCACGCAGTTGGAAAACACGATTCTAGGAATGGATCATGGAAACGACAGTGGACGCGGGGGAACTTCGTCTGTTATATCTGGCCTAGCCTCTCCAGCAACATCAATCAGCGAGGACAGTCTCCACGATGCTGCAATTCCACCATTATAATCACCTTTTACACCTACCTCCTTTTACCCCCCCTCACATAATCGTCGGGCTTTACCACCACCGACACCCCACGAATACCTTGTTGATGCATTGATGACCTCTTCCTGTTCTGTTATTAGATGTTGGGCGTACTGCGAGGTCTGGTTATCGATTGATACCTCTTGTTTTATTTTCTCTTGATGATCAACTGTTTGATTATGATCACATATCCCTGGATGGATGAATGGCTCTTTCAGCAAAGCTTGTACATATGGGATCAGGTTATGATGATGGATATAGACTGGATGGCGATCGGATAGATAGCATGAATTATGAGCATATTAATAGCCACACGAGCCATAATACAGGTAAAAAACAACCCCAGAGAGATGTGTAATTGTAGATAAATTGCGATGGGGGTTATCTCACAGTACTATATTGGATAATCCATGTGCGAAGTTTCGCAAAAGCACGTCATCACATCGTAGGCTAGCGACACCACATACCTCCCTCACCTCATGTTCCTCTAATAGCACCCCAACGAGATTGTGTCACTGCCACTCTCTTATTGCCAATCGATCACCTCATACACGTACAGACAGAGAGAAGTCCACTTTCCAATACCACCACTTCATTGAATACTAACGCAATAATTATCACAACCCCAGAAAGTACGAAAAATCGTTCCCCCCATTTCCGAACGCAAAATCCTCCAAGATCGTCGGGTCAACTAGATTAGCTAAGATCTCAGCCCGGGTATCAGGCTGAGCGTCTTGGTTAAAGAGCGAGAAAAAGAAATCTCCGTCTTCGCCCTGTGACACCAACGGAGCCATATCCGCCCGGGTATGTACACTCTGGTTGTTATTTGTCTCTAGGCTCGATGAGTCGGTGTTGGTGTCGGCACGAGGGGGTAAGACAGGTACAGCGGGTATTGCTCGACGCCTTGCGACACACGCGCGGGCTACGTCGAGGACTTCACGGATCATCTCAGAGCAGCGGCGAGCGACGACGATGTTGGTCATCGAGTCGAATATTTCGAGGCTTTTCTCGACATCCTGGAGTAGCTCTTCCTCGCTTATACCTGGGAAGCCGGAGAGGATTAGGTGAAGGAGGATCATGGCTCCGTAGAGGGCGTAGGTTGTGTTGTACCACCTTTTTTTGGGCACTGTTAGTTCGGCGGGTTAGTAGAAGCGGGAGTGGGGGGACTGTTTACCAGGTCCGTATGTAGATTCTGTGGAGGAATGATTCATATTGCATTTGGATGCTGGCTCTTGCTGCTGTTAGGCAGATGTGGCCGTGCTGTAGTAGGTTGGGTGATTCGGCGATGCATGTTGATGCTGCAGGAAGGGACGGTGTATAAGTATTCGCGTATTGTAGAATCCTGGAGGTAGATTGTACTTAAGTAGGTTGTTCCTGGGTGATTGTTGTATAAAAGGTATCAAGGAGTACTTACTCAGTCGTAAGACTAGTTTCTGCTTGAACGCCCACTCCGAATCGTTGAGCGAGGCAACGTCTACGTTGAGGAAGGAGGGTAGGTTGGATTTCCACTCCTCTAATTTATTATCAAGGCTCATTGCAATCTGTGACATCTCACTTGTAGGGCGTTTCGGTGAATGGTAGAGCAGATGAGACGCCTCTGACATGATCTGCGCTAAAGCTACCATGACCGGTATCATGGCTACGTCGTCCTCCTCTGCCTCGGGGTCATGAGTGTCGCGGTTATTTGCCTATTACTACACTGTGAGACGTTGGTCTCTTGTGGTTCGTGTTGATTGGAGCCTATACCTTTAATGGGGGTAAGGTGACCTGGTAATGGTCAAGTTGCTTCATGCTATCCAGCCTCCCCGAGGAACAGCACATTTCGCTTCATTGCATGTTAGTAGTATACCCTGGCTATGTTTCTGAGAGACTTACACTTCATGTGAGTATATGCACCTATATAATTTTAGTTCTGTGACGCGAAAAGGGCAACCAGGCGAGCACTCACCACCAGGTTCGTCGGCCTTCTTTGCGTATGCTTGGAGGTAATGAGGACATTCCAGATGCCAATCCAATTGCGATCGCTGTTCTAACTGCCATCCCGCTATACATGAAGCAGCTGTGAGGTCGTAAAGCGTTCTGACAGAATACGCTCTAGCCACGTCCTAGTTAGATAAGAAACCAACTAAGCGTAACAGACACTCGACTCACAAGGAGCAAGAGAGCCTGAGCACTCTCTAGGGAGCAGCTCTCGAATATATCCCCGAGGGCTTGTTTTGTAATGCCAAAATAGAAATCAGCAAAATCCAAGGCTGACGGCTTTCCTGCAAAGCTATATTTTCGTCCGTCAGCCGAACAGGTAGAATAATGATCCAGGAGAGAGGTCTCATTAGGGCTGGCATTAATGGCACCCAGGGCAACCACGGCGAAATATAAGCCTTTGAACTTCGATGGCTGACGGCTGAATGTTCTTCGTTTCGAAGCTATGAAAGCTCCTTGTTCACACCTTCGCATGAAGGCATTTTTACACAACATAGGATGTATATAATGTTTGTTTGAAAAGTAGCTGCCGATGAAGATCTTCTCAATTTCAAGTTGTGCCTCGTCGGAGAGCTCACCGATAGCTAGCCCCACTGCATCTTCATTATCTATCCCCCAGCGCCGGTTAGATTAGGGTCAGGTTGCCGTTAACACCAGTATTTATTACTCACCAGCGAAAGGTCGAGGCGGAATCCTCTGGTCCCCAATCGTTGAGGATTGTCTGTTTCCATCATCCTCGGGCCGCCCGTTGATCTGAGGTGGGGAGGTACTAGGATAACCTGGATTGTAAAGTAGGTTTACTATAGATAGTTGGGCCGCACTCGTCACAGGCTTTGCGTTTGACGGTTCCTTGTCCACCGTAGGTTGAAGTGCTTGTCGAGGTGAGACATATTTCATACTCGATGGCTGGTCCGGCGCCAGGCGGCAACCCTCTTCTGGAAGATTAGAAGACATATTCTCGGGTATGTTCGATGTTCTAGCTTCTGCTTGATTGCGAGCTCGCGCATATAGATTTCCAAGAAAGGCGAGATTCGAAGAGTTACCATAGAATTCTGTGCCGTTGGTGTGTAAATTGATTCCGCTCAGGCCGTCTCTAGATGCTGAATCATACACCTCCGAGGTAGCCCCTATAAAAACTCTCTCAGTATGGGCTCTCTTTGAACAAACCCCATAAGGATGTATCATCTCACCAGCTAAGACATCATTCTTGTGTTTGGAACCAGGACATCCGGGTGTTGTAGCATTGCGGTTGATACCCGTACGGGGTGCACGAGCTGCTTCTCCTGCAAGGAGATCTAAAGGACCACGGTGCGGCGAGGTCAATTGGTTGGGTGAACTCACCTCTGGCCACGGAGATGGCCGAACTTGGTCTGTAGGTGCCCTAGTAGTATCGAAATGATTGTAAGGTCTTGAAGACCAGACAGGTATAGGAAAGAATAGCTAACCTTTGCGCTCCTCTGGCTTGGGCATGTCTTTTAACTGTTGGTGTTGAGCTTTCATTCTGGCCAGAAGCTCTGTAAACACAGTCAAGTGCGTGGTCTATGGTCTGCGTTAGCAGATTGTCCCTGACAAGGTGCATTCACTTCTCGGGCTGTCCTAGCACGATCAAGAGGGGCAGCTTACAAGCACAGTAGGAGCATGGCTTTGCTTGGTCACACTATCATGATGCAATTAGCCCAGTTATCCGTGACAGGGGAGTTCTAGTATACTAGCAGCAGTTGATTGGAAAATCAGGATACAGTACTTTCGTCTTGCGAACGCGACAAGTCTCGCAGGCACGTGAAGCACGTGGATGTCGTCGACGTGATGCGCGCAATTTTGCAGTTATCGCTTCACCTCTGTTCATTATGATTTTCGTTATACAGTCCGCTGGACGAGATTTTCATCAAGTGGTGGGTGCTTGAGATGATTGAATGGGCTCCACACTAACCTAGAATTTAGATTTAATTTAATTATTTTTCCCCGCCGAACCGATCGCCACCAGACAGCCATGGAAGCTCTACACTTAGTAGCTATCTGGGGTATGATGGGTCCGGGGTTGCCTTTCAAACATTCATATCTATAACCACGAGAATCTGGCCAGCTTTCAAGTATAGGCTTCGACTACAGTAGTACTTCCCGAGTGACTATAATTAGTTATGCTCTGCACCTTAGCATATATTACTGGACGACCCGGTCGGCTTGATTAACGTCATATATCAGCTCTTAGCTATCAAAGGATCTGACGGGTTGTGGTTTTCGAGAAGGCTATCTCAATTAGTCTTCAGCTCTACAACTGACACACGTATTCCACCGACGAATGGTGCATTGAACCGATACCTCGAAGCGATGTCTCCTGAAGGAACCGGCAGCCGATCATTTTGGACTATGAATCATCTAGCCGTGTCCCTTTATCAGATATATCTAAGATATTAATCGTTGTTAGTTCTTTTCTAGTACATGTATGAACCTCCGACGGATGCCCCCGATAGCCATACATCCGTTCCGACGGGTTCTCTTATAACGGCATATCTACCAGTACCATTTCCGGCTCAGCCACTTGTGATGGCCTCTAGATTTTCCAACTGTGCAAACCCCTCCATATTAGCCTGTGGGGAAGTACTCTAAGTTAGAATAGACTCTTTTGATTGTACCGAGGATGGTCGGACAGTATGAACTATAAGAGACTGGCAGTTCTCATACCTCAAAGGTTGAGTCAATCAAACGATTCTTCAGTGGTTATTACCTTAGCAATTATACAGAATGTCGCAACAATCAACAGATAGCTCTTGAACCAATGGAACACCCAATGTTGCCGGCCTTAGCGAGAGAACTCGTGCCAAATGGGCGACCGCGTTTACTCCAGAAGAGATTGCCGCCAACCTTCCCCCAATGCTAGACTTGACAATCGAGAACATCACGGAAAATGTGATGAAGATAAACTCAATATGTGACAATCCTAGGCTTCGGTATCTTGTGTTGAAACTGGTTCAGGCCGCCCATGACTATGTCCGCGAGGTCGGTCTGCAGTTTGATGAATGGGAGCAAGCATGGCAATTCCTGACCAAAGTACGTGTGATCTAAGCGCTCGTTTATGTATACGCTATAGTGACCAATATCTCCTAGGTCGGCCAGATCTCGACTGATGTGCGTCATGAATTTGTGCTCTTATCCGATATTCTGGGCATCTCTGCGCTAGTCGATGCCATCTCTTATCCCGCTGTTCCCGGTGCCACCGAGTCCTCCATCCTCGGCCCTTTCCATGACGAGGAGGCTCACTCGTTTCAGTATGGAGAATCCATTGCCTCTGTAGGGACTGCGGGCGAGCCTACCATTGTGCGAGGGTTTGTCAAAGATACTGAAGGCAACGCCGTTCCTAACGCCTTGATTGATGTATGGGAGACCGACGGCAACGGCGTCTATGATCTAGAGTACGACGGACAGGAGGAACCCAATTGCCGGGGGAAGCTATTCACAGATGGGACCGGACATTATCTATTCTCTTGTGTCAAGCCAGTTGCGTATCCCGTCTCAAACGACGGACCGGTCGGTGAACTTTTGAGAAAGCTGAAACGTCACTGGTATCGTCCTGCTCATATGGTAAGATAACCCTTATCTTCATTGAAAACCGACTCTATTGGCATGTACGCTAATATATATTCAGCACTTTATGATCGCGCATCCAGAATATACGAAGTTGATTACGGCTTTGTAGTCCCGGGACAGTAGCTTCGGAGTACAAAAGAGCTTGATCGTGGATTACACATGGTGTGAGGACCTGGAACTGGCCAAGCAACACAATGTGAACCCAGTCACCAAGACAATTGAGGGACAAGAGTCGAAAGGGTTCTGGCTACTGGAACGAGACTTTATCCTTGTCAAGAAGAGTGCGCCTGCACCCCAGAAAACGCAGGATTAGCAGCGGATTATTTGGCTACTGGCGCACACAGTGATAGTGATCACCATAACATTGTTATGTTGGGGAATACTCAAGTCATTGCAGTGAACAGAGTTAGATGAAATGAAAGCTATCTTGTTGTTTCCAATCCATCTATTTGCTCGATAACGAGTTTAACAACTAAATATTACCTGGAGGAACCAAATAACAACAGACTTCGTTGATCTTGTAGTATGACATCTAGGTTGACCCGGAGCATCATAGCTACAGCCTGTGTAGGCGTTTGTTATGAATCAAGAAACATTAAGAGCGCCAATAAAGAGCACATAATAATCCCAAAATGAATTTCCATAATTCAAACTGAAGACATAGTATATAAGAAGTGCCACATGTGCATATCTTTACATATCGGCATTATCTCCTTCATACAACTGATAAGAAGACAGTTGGACCTCTCCTATCTTATCCGTCGGGGTATTTATAGATCGATAACCGATCACTGATTGCCAACCCGACTACTCTCATGAATTCAGTAACAACCTTCCTGAAGAGCGTCAGATTCTGTCTATAAACCACCTAATCAGGAAGGTGAATTCACACCGAGGCAGAGATCAAGATCCGACTTGGGTAGGGTTTCCCGATACACGACTCTTTCCCCACATCCCCCGCTTCCGGGGTCAGATCCTTCGAATGGAATTCGTATAGATGTAGTCTAAATCTCGCACATTACCTAACAGGCCGTTTGGTCCCGAGAATAAGCGTGGAAGATGGTGGCGGACGATATCCGAGTTCCGACGGACAGGGCGGGACAGCACGACTATAGGCGTTGAATGACGCCGTGGATGGTGTAAATGGTAAGCTTATCGGATGATAGACTGCTCCTTATCAAACCGGCAAGCAGTGCGGAGTAGGCGGATTTATAAGGCGTTGATCGTATCTGGTGATACTATACCATCACTACTTAACCACTTGTTGTATCCTACCTAACGTCAATATATATGACTATATCTTTCTCTTAGTTTGACTATAGCTTGCGTTATCGAACTAATAACCTACAATGGGATGGGACCAAGACGCCCTCAGGGCCCAATTCTGCCATGCACTTTCGGAAATGTATAAGAGCGAGGTCCCCCTTTACGGCGATCTTGTAGATCTCGTCTGGAAGGCAGATGCCGAAGCCATCAACACCAGTCAGAAACAAGGAACCGCGGTGATTGATCCGGACGAGATCTTGCCGTCGCGGAACCGGGTCGAAAGACATGGGGCCATCCGACTAGGTACCGCAGACGAACTCTCTACGATTCGACGTATGTTTGCAATCATGGGCATGTTTCCTGTGGGATACTACGACCTGAGCGCTGCCGGATTCCCAATGCATGCTACTGCATTTCGTCCGTGGACAAAGGCAGCGTTATCCAAACACCCGTTTCGAGTGTTCACGACGGTTCTACGTATGGAGTTGCTGACGGAGAAGACCCGGGAGCTGGCGCAAAGAGCTCTACGCCAGAGGAATATTTTTACAGACCGCTTAGCCGCTCTCATTGAGCTGGCTGAAAAGCAAGGCCGGCTTAGTCCGACGGAGTGCAGAGAGTTTATCGTGGAAGGACTAGAGACATTCCGGTGGCATTCCAAGGCCACTGTGACGATGGAGGAATATCAGATTCTAAAAGCCGAGCACCCGCTGATTGCGGATGTTGTTTCCTTTCCCAGTTGTCATATTAACCATCTTACGCCTCGGACGATCGATATCGATCTAGTGCAGAAACTGATGCAGGACCATGGCATGCCGGCAAAGGAACGCATTGAAGGTCCCCCGCGACGACAGTGTCCGATCTTGCTCCGTCAGACAAGCTTCAAAGCATTGGAGGAAACTGTTTACTTCCGAGATACCCATGATGCTTATTTGAAAGGGTCACATACTGCTCGGTTTGGGGAGGTTGAGCAGCGTGGATACGCTTTGACACGGAAGGGCCGCCAGCTTTACGACACAATATTGTCACGGGTCAATATTGAGTCTACTGAGAGAGGTGTCAGTGCTTCTGAATATGAAAGCCTCCTGGTAAAACATTTCAAGGGGTTCCCGGACGACATGGCTCAGTTACATTCTCAGCAGCTGGCGTACTTTTCTTACCATTTAACGCCACACAGTCAAGAACCCCCGCAACTCGACCTGCAAGGGGGGAATATGACCTTGAAACAGCTCCTAAAGAATAATATCATCGAGTATGAGCCCGTCACATATGAGGACTTTTTACCCTTGTCCGCCGGAGGTATCTTCAATTCGAATTTAGGAAACACGTCCCAATCGAAACAGCTGGTCATGGAAGCTGAAGCGGATTTGGATGGATTTCAACGCATGTTGGGGACGTCTATAATGGATGAGTTCCATCTCTATGCACAAATACAACAGAGCAGCTTGGAGAACTGTCGGAAGCAATTGGGGTTGGATGCGATTCTAGAGTAAGAGTACTTCAGGATGTGGTCACTAGACTTAGATTAATATTATTCCAATGTAAAGACGATACTAGTAATAGCGTCGCTCCCTCAACTTCTCAGCGATAAGCAGTGGTAGATCATTAATTGATGTGATCACAAATTCTCCGGTCGAAAACTATCGACGGATGAACGCCACCGAACGGGCCAGATTCATGGTCACTTGATGAAGCGTGCTTTCCTTCAACGAGTCGAGAATGGCCTCCATCGAGGATCAGGGCGGAGATTAATCACTTGGAAGGAAGGGCGTTCGGAACAAAGGAGAATGTGCCAGCGGTTCCAAGTGGTGTCACCACACAACAACAAAGTTCGACACTATGAGGTCCACAAAACCTGGTCGAGAAAAAGATTATAGACGACGAAACTTTGGACTAATTCCACATTCATGAACAAGGGTTCAGCCGTTCATTGTCTATAGTTCGTTCTATGGGTCTCTTTGCGCTCTCACCGCAACTGCGGACAAGCCCTAAATCCTTCCCGATGTGATCCGTCAAGCCTCAAATTTATTCGCCTCCGCCATGAATCCTCACTCACCACGCGCACTTACCCAACTGCTACCAATTCAGCCTTGCATAAACTATCGAGCTATATGGCTTTATATTTTCAATTATTGTATCTTACGATCCGACGTTCCCTCGATGTTGGTTGACAGAACACTGCCACCTTGGTTCTCTCTCTCTCTCTCTCTCTCTCTCGAAAAAAATATATATCCTTTGGATATGAAATTTGACTGACAGACGGCCGTGTCAGTCTGACATTGTAAAAGCTCTACTGTTTGTTGATAACTATATATATACCGTCAGCATGACTGTGTTAACTAACATATGCCATTTATAGTCTTAAGATTCTTCAAGTAGCTGTTCCCGTCAGATTAGAACGGGCCCTTGCATGAATGCTCTGTCTTGGATTCCATGGTTCAAAGTTTATATAGGATGTCGTATGCTTGGGCCCCAAAATCGGACGACTGGGGCTTGTCCGGGATTATCCAAATCTGAGAGTATATCTACGGAGCATTCCGCTCCCACGTCCGTTAGGTATTCTCGATCATCGGGCAAGTCTTTGGTCTCTTTGTGCGAACATAATATCCTCATTTCATCACAATGCGTTTATTCCTCGTGGGCTTTGTAGCCACGGCATATGCACAACTCGGCCCTCAGGTCAACCTCTACAGTTATGAGAAACCGGGGCCTCTCTTGGGGAGTTCCTTCGGTGTCCCTGGAGCCGACGCGACCTTCGACTATGTGGTCGTGGGAGGTGGAACAGCTGGTCTGACTATTGCTAGTCGCCTGGCCCAACGTGGATCTAACCAGAGCGTTGCTGTCGTGGAGGCCGGCGGTTTCTATGAAGTCGACAATGGCAATCTTTCTGTCATCCCGACATACTGTACCTACTTCACAGGGTGGTCCCCAGACAACTACCAGCCGCTTGTCGACTGGGGCATTACCACTGAGCCACAGCCGGGGACAAGCAATCGCGCCCATCACTATCCGCGTGGGAAGACCCTCGGGGGCAGCTCGGCCAGGAACTACATGCTGTATCAACGGCCTACATCAGACAGCATGCAGAAATGGGCAGATGAGGTAGGTGACCAGAGCTATACCTTTGCCAACATGCTCCCCTTCTTCAAGAAGTCTGGTCACTATACGCCTCCCGATCAAGCTGCCTATACCGATTTGTCCAACACCCAGGCCACAGAGGCTTTCAGCCCTTCTGGGGGACCTCTTGAGATATCGTTCAGCAATGAAGTCGATCAATTTGGCACTTATGCGCGCAAAGCGTTTGTTGGCCTCGGCATGGACCAAATTGATGGGTTCAATAGTGGCAAACTATTGGGATCTGCGTATGCAACATCAACAATTGACCCGAAGAATGCACACCGTTCGTCGTCCGAGTCCAGCTTCCTGCAAGCCGCCCTCAATGACGGCGCGGATTTGATGGTGTATAAAAACACCTTGGGACAAAAGATTGTCTTTGATTCGAACAATGTCGCTACCGGTGTTCAGGTCTCAACAGGTGGGACGTTTGGCACCAGACCAGTCAACTTCACGTTGACTGCTCGCAAAGAAGTGATCCTGTCTGCAGGAGCGCTTCAATCTCCTCAGCTATTAATGGTCTCTGGGATCGGTCCATGCGATGAATTCTCCGAACTAAGGATCCCTTGCATTAGCAACTTACCAGGCGTCGGCAAGAACATGCAAGACCACGTAATGTTTGGGTCTTCGCACCGTGTGGATGTCCAAACCGCCTCTGCATTCAGCAACAAAACACTCGTAGAACAATTCACGCAGCAATACCTCCAGAATGCCTCGGGTCCGCTCTCAATTTTCTCATCCAGCTACTATGGTTGGGAGAAGCTCCCAGAGCCGTATCGCTCCCAGCTATCAAATCAGTCAACCCAAGCCCTCTCTGCTATTCCAAACGACTGGCCTGAGCTCGAATGGCTTACCGTCGCTGCTTATCTTGGCGACGGCAGCAACCGCGAGACCGCCGATCCCGCGGATGGTTATAACTACGGCACAATCGCCACAGCTATCGTTGCTCCGCAATCTCGTGGGACGGTCTCCCTGGCAGGACCAGATATGAACACCCTGCCCGTCGTGGATCCCCAGTGGTTGGTTAATCCCACGGACATGGAGCTAGCTATCCAGGGGTTCAAACGCGGTCGCCAGGTATGGGAGAAGCTCGCTGAATTAGGAGTTGCCGATCCGGTAGAGCACTACCCAGGGACTAATGTCACGACCGACGAGCAAATCCGCGAGTTCATCAGCCGTACTTCAACGACAGTCTACCATGCTTCGAGCACCTGTAAGATGGGCCAGAAGGAGGACCTGATGGCCGTTCTGGATAGTAATGCGCGAGTATACGGCGTACAGGGTCTGCGTGTCGTCGATGCAAGTAGCTTTCCTTTCCTACCACCAGGACACCCTCAGTCGGTGGTGTACGCTCTTGCAGAGAAGATTGCAGACGACATCTTGAGCACGCAGTAACGTTATGCCTTTTGAATTTTGGACTGCACATATGGCGTTCGGTTGTATATTATTATGTTATTTCCAGACCTAGTAATGATTAATTGATGTCCTTGGTTCATAATGTGGAGCGACAAGTACTAAAAATATATGGCAAACCACTTACTGTTGAATGGCTTCTATCACAACAACACTTCTCGGCTCGAGTTAAACATTCAAATTGCAATATAGAATACAATACAATGCACTACCCAATGTGCAAAAAATCTATCTGTACATGTTGCCTCAATGCCCAATAAACAGATAATCAAACAAGACCAAAAGATCATCGTGATCCATCCAGCCGTAGCCTGAAGTGCTGAACTCCACAACGCAAATGTTTTCTCTACTCTCCCCATCCTCCATTATTCATATCGAGTATCCGTCGAATGGAGAACCCACCTATGCCTTGACTTCCACCTCCTGCCCATCCTCAACAACAACGGCACCCTCCTGCAGTAACTCATCCGCAGTCTTCACTTTGACATCCATCACCCTCAGCAAGGTATACCGATGCTTGCTACGCACCTGTCTCACATGTCGCTGTCTGCGCTTCGTCTTCTCCTTCACCCTCAATGGCTCCGAATCAACTCCCATAACACGTACTCGGCACTCAAATAGCCGCTCATCGATGTATGGTGCCCCCTTGAGCGTAAACTCGCGAGATCCCAGAACAGATGCCCGATTGAAACGAATGACATCCCCGGTCTTCACCTTGGGCATCAAGAAAGGGAGACGGAGGTGATCACCCTCAGTGAGAAGGTAGGGGCTGTCGTGAAGATGAGCAGTGATGTAGTACGGCTTTTGGCTCGTCAGGTACGGCAGCTTCTCGAGAAGGGATTGGGTCACTTTTAACGGGGAGGTGAAGGTCGGAGCCACGGGGAGTTTGGGGGTTGGGATGGTATTCGACGGTGTGGAGGTGGGTGGTTGTTGGCTAGGTGTGCTGGTCTGAGCGCGGGGGGTTGCGCTTAGTGGTTCTGAGGGCTGCTCAAGGTGTGATTGCGAGGTCGTGGTCGTCGTTGATGCTTGACGCAGACAGGCCCCGAAGGTGGTGTTGAGAGGCCGGGCGGACTGCTCGAATGGCAGTGCGAAGGCTCTTGCGAGCACCGTTCGGGAAAACATTTTTGTGGTTGTTGCAGAATTGATGGCCTCCTTGTAATCCTGCACTTGTTTTTCCGGATTGGAAAAGACAAGACTAATGTCGCAATGGACGTGGTGGACAGTTCTTGTATCAGTCCGAACTTGAGGCCGCGAGAAATTCCAGTGGATCCCGATGTGGTTAGGCACGTGATGTGGCTGGTGCCAACGTTTTCGATGGCAATTGACACTGATAGATGGGTTCTGAAATTGCAGAATAAGAAATAGGATCGAGAGCTGATTTTCTAAGAAAATCCAATCAGATGTTTGTATTCAACTGGGTTTGCTGTATAGGAAGTTCTCTTGTTTGGAAGAGTGAAGTCTATGCTGGTCTGTATATCACGTGATTTATCGATACCAAGCCACTCTATCCGTGCATCGAACTTTTTCTACATCTCCGCCAACTGAGTTGATAATATCGGATCATCTCAACCCGTTGGTTTCTATTAATCATGGTACGTTTCTAACCTCCCAGATATGGCCAGATCGCTCGGCCGCCCATTAAAATGTCCCGAGTCACTCAGGAGCCGCTCTGGAAGACTTTGATAATGGATACTGGTAACTAACAAATTCTCTCCAACTACAGCCTCAGAACGAGTTCGTCCTCCTGCCTCAGTCAACTGTTCCCCGTTACCCCAACATGATATACTGACCACTCCCAGGTATATCGAGCGCTGGCAAAAGCAGCACGGAAAGCGTCTTGACCACGACGAGCGAGTCCGCAAGCGCCAAGCCCGTGAAGTCCATCAGCAGTCCAAGGATGCCCAGAATTTGCGTGGTCTGAGGGCCAAGCTGTACCAGCAGAAGCGCCATGCCGAGAAGATCCAGATGAGGAAGCGCATCAAGGCGCAGGAGGAGAAGAATGTCAAGTCTTCCGCGCCCGACGAGCCATCCAAGACGCCTTTGCCCCAGTATCTGCTCGACCGTTCCCAGGCCACCAATGCCAAGGCACTTTCTAGCGCTATCAAGGATAAGCGTAAGGAGCAGGCCGCCAAGTTCGCAGTGCCTCTGCCTAAGGTCAAGGGTATCAGTGAGGAGGAGATGTTCAAGGTTGTCAACACCGGAAAGAAGACGCATAAGAAGTCCTGGAAGAGAATGATCACGAAGCCCACCTTCGTCGGCAATGACTTCACCCGAGTTAACCCCAAGCGTGAACGTTTCATCAGACCCATGGGTTTGCGTTACAAGAAGGCCAACGTCACACAGTATGTCCTTCCCTCCTTCTCAAGGAATTGTTACTGATAGTTGTTCCTCCTTAGCCCCGAGCTGGGAGTCACTGTTCAACTACCCATTATTTCGGTTAAGAAGAACCCCCAGAACCCACTGTATACTTCTCTGGGTGTTTTGACCAAGGGAACGGTATGTTCTGCTGCTGTCCCCCCTTCCGGTGAAAATGCTTGCTGACCATAAGATAGATTGTCGAAGTGAACGTTTCGGAACTAGGCCTGGTAACAACCAGTGGACGCGTTGTTTGGGGTAAATACGCACAGATCAGTAACGTAAATATGCCTAGAACTTGTTTGAAAGGAGCCATCCGATATGCTAATCTTCTATCTAGAACCCTGAAAACGACGGATGCGTCAACGCGTATGTTCCCTCAGACTTGTCTGCCCCGTTGACTACTCGGATTGCTAACGTTCGGTCCACAGTGTTCTCCTCGTTTAATCATTCTACGGTCGACGTTCATGAATCAGCCCCACCACTTACATTCTTCATCTTCGATACCATATGATGTCATAGAATTTTTGTCTTTGGCTTTCCGTTCTTCCCTTACTCGCCGGCGGCGTTCGAGGCGCGCAATGTGTCATTTATCAAAAGTATCGTGTTGATCCATATCCGATTGCAATTGTATTGGAAAATCATTCGCTGCAGTATCTCTTCGTAGGCATATTCTCTAGGTGGTCAGTTCACGTACAGCCAGCCTTTCTACTGTGACAGGCAGCGTGGCGGATCCATGTAGAGAACTAGACCACCGCTGGGCGGGTCATGAAGCCTACAAGGAGGTTCAGATGCGTAGATTCCTTCTCTGTCCATCATATATGTCAAATGGACAACCTTCTAGTCGAGTACTACTGACTTAAGTGGCTATAGGGCCATGGATACATCTAGAAACAATTATCTTGGCAACTAACATACAATTGCTTTTGCCCATACACATATACGAATCACTGTCGAATATATACTCGGAAAGGCGAGATGAACACCAACGTTGGTTTGTGTAGGCACGCAAAGGGTTAGCCTAAGGCAACCACATGATTATTGGACAATAATCAATAGTTCTTTGCAGTGTTTTCCGTTGGTATAGGACGAATAGCATCGAGTAAGCAAGCACGCTGCCTATCTTGATACCGGTTGACTACCCTGATGCGTCATTTAGGGGCTATGAGTATTGAAAACATTACGAGCTAACACAGTAATGTCCAAGCCTGTCAAGTATATCCTGCCTTATATTGTACTTATTGCCCAATTTGACTGCACGTCCTCGATCGTCCATCCTCCGCCTACGAGCCGAACCATGGCACCAACTATCTACTACTACTATACCTCAACCCCTACACTGCTCCTCATAGCGCATTGGCCATCCAGCCAGCCTTCCCGCTAGCAACCGCACCCACAGGCCGGACACCCTCCCCCGTTGACCCCTGGTTATATTAAACCAGCACCAATCCCCTACACTTTCCCTAATCGGGTCTAGTAGCGTGTCTTCGGGTTTCTTCCAGGTCGGGTTGACTAGAATCAGTCTAAGATACTAGCAATTACTTGGTGAGAGTTTTGTTGCTCCCTGGGTGGGCATTAAACATGGCATATATCTATCTATCTAAATATTCATTACAAACTGGTTATGTCGAGCTCTGGGGGCAAAGGTTAGGGCTTTAGTTTATACAGGGACACAAGTTGACTTGCTTATACTGCCTGATATCTTTCTGTAGTTTAGTTTTTGATGTATATATTCCTTTACGTCACCGACATATAGGGCACTTTGGCAGATATATCACCGCCTGTATTCTCCCACTCAAGAGGGACATGGCTACCAAGAGCCAATACTTTGAGTTGAGCGTGCTTATACTAGCATGAATGAGGCTACTTGGTTGTGGTTGTATCGCGGGGCAGTGCAATGGGGTTTATAAGTAACAAGTAGTAAGTAAGAGCAATGAAAGGCCGGTACTACCGGACTACAATCTGACGGCTGAATACCAGATGAAGCTAGGATTGCCAGTGCTGACCAGCCTCTAATCATGGCGCGCCGTTACAACACAATCAATTTGATCACCCCCCCGCCAGCAAGGCTCAATCAATTAGGGCTAACTGCACTCCGTACGCCATGTACAAATTTCAGTACATGACCCCGCTCTTGAACAAACCTACTCCAATTCACTCTCTCTCTCTCAACTCAAAGGGGGCAGATCAAATTGACTACTCATCATGGCTCCCAGCTCGGAGGCTGCGATTAATCAGTTGAGGACGGTCTTCCCCAGTAAGGCGGTGACCCCAGAAGTTGAGTCGAAGTACCAAGAAGCTGTTACACGCCCTTAGTCTCAGACGTGCTGGACCCCAGCTGCGGGTTATATGTATCTGAGCAAATGTACAAGAGCTCACCGAAGCACTGGCGATTGTCAAGCAGACAGGATCCAAGTTTGCTATTCACACAACCGGCCACAACCTCAATGCTGGCTTTAGTAGTGCAGAAGAGACTACTATCGTTCTTGATATCCGCTAGCTTCAGTCTAAGGAGCTGACACCGGAGGGAGTCGCTCGACTTGGGTCGGGAAATACCTGGGGGCGACGTGTATGCCTGGCTGGAGGAGCAGAAGCTGTCAGCTATTGGAGGTCGAGACCAGCAGGTCGGACTAGGCGGTTTCCTCCTCGGAGGTGAGGGCCTACGACTATTCTGAAGAGGATGTTCCTGGGGCTTGGGACCTAACTGGTAAATAACCGGGCCCAGGAGGGTAGCGACGACGATGACGCCGCCGCGCAACAGGCAGTGGATACAATGTCCGAAACGGTGCACTCTCTGGCCAAAGAAAAGGGACTTTTACTGAACTTCAAGTGTATGGGCTTTGCCACGGCATCTCAACGGGTTCTGGGCAGCTATGGGGCCGAGAACATCAGGAGGATGCAGGAGGCTGCGGCCAAGTACGACCCCGAGGGTTTTTTCCAGAAGCTGCAGTACGGGTGGCTTTCTCCTGCGCAACAGCCCCTAAACGTGCTCGCCCCTTCCCATGAGTGAGGGACTTTGTAGGCCTAACCTAATGGAAAGCTGGGTCGAGCTTTCTGCTGTATTCGACTTCCTGTATCACCGAGCGGACAGGATTCACAGCGAAACATTTCAATTATAGACAGATATATACGAAAGACAAATGAAGCCACACAAGAGATCTGTTATGTAGGTAGGTCACTTATTACCCACACGAACAAGCTCTTCGAGGTAAGACGCAAGGCTATGTTTAAATGAATGCTATTATATTCCAAGTATACTCAAACTCCCAACCCACGCTGAATTTACAGCTTCCAATGCATCCATCAGTGACAAAAGATCCATATACAATGCCCAAACGTGTCCTCAAAACACCAAGTCCGTGTACCCAAAAGGTAATATTATAGATCCAAGAAGTGCAAAACAAAGGAAATACTCCACGCTGGGCGGAACCAGTCCAATAGGCAGGCATGAACGCCGGATCGTCGGATCATTCAGGATATCAAACAAGAAATATTCGAGGGCCAACATAAACAAAAGAAATTAGTCGAGTCAAGTGTCATCATGCGTTCTCTTCCAATGCTGCTTTGATCTTTGCAAAAAATCCAGCAGGCCAAGCCGCGAGTTCTTCCTCCTTGGGGATGCCGCGCACCTTGCAGTGATTCACTACGTTCACCAGAATCCTGTTGAGCATTTCCTGGGTGACGGGAACAGCTCCTTCAAGTTGCGCCTCGGGGTACAAGAATGGGTCCCTCTGAGCCAGGAGTTGATCCACGGTTGGTCGTAATGTCTGATCACGTTGCAAGCACCCCTTCAACGTTCGGATCAGTCCCGGGGGTATCAGCGCTCCGCCAACACCAAAGGCGGGGAAATCAATCTTGACATTTGGATTGGGGATAGCCAAGATGCGTTCATAGTATTTGGCGATCTTCGCAAAAGGAGGCTGCCCATACACCATCTTATAGAGAATACAACCCAAGCTCCAGACGTCGCTGGGCTTACCGAGCTTCATCACCTTTCCAACGCTTGCCGGCAATCCGAGCGATGCGTTCGAATCAACCAAAGCTTCTGGTGACATATAGTTTGGTGTACCGACTTGCTGCTCACGGTGTACGTTGACCGTATTGTCCTGAATGGCGTTCGCGATTCCAAAGTCGATCAGTTTCAGCCTCCCTTGTACAAGAAGGAAGTTTGCGGGCTTCAAGTCCGAATGTACAATGTTGTAGTTATGGACTGCTTGAACACACTCAAGCATCTCCTTCCAGTAATACCGAGTAAAGTTGATATCGAAAACAGCATCCTCGGCGTTTAGTCGGTACGTGAGTATCTTCTCTAGGTCAGACTCTCCAATTTCCATTAGAACACTGAGAGTATGTTTGTCGGAGTTCAACTCCCAGTCAAACAAGCGTACGACACGGTCCAGGTTTTCCAATTTCTTGAGTAGGTCAATCTCTCCCTTGTAGCCAGCCAATGTTACGGGATCAACATCCTCCAAGTTCACCCGTTTTAGGGCAAAAATCTTGTAGTTCTCAGCCATTACTCGGTACACGCGCGAGCTTCCGCCTCGGCCAATGCAGTCTAATCGTGTGAAGGGTTTGTGATTAACCGATACTTGATTGCGCTTCTTGCGGGACGAGGACGCGGTAGCCGCACCTCCTGTTGCTGTAGCAGTCTCAAGTACGGACATCTTTGGGGGGGGAGGGGCCGGTCTATGTGGGGTATTATTGCTTCGAGTCGATAGGATCTTTCTGGGCGAATTTCCAGCTGGCGTTTCTATGCTTTCTTTCTTTTCGTCCCCATGAGTCATTGAGAGCTTTTCTGGTTTGTCAAGCAAGTTAAAGCCCTGTTGTTTCACCCGTTTGAAGGTCGGCGGAGGCTCGTTCTCTTGATCGCGAGCTGCAGGTAGTGTGGGCGGAGGGGGAACCTTGAAAACAGGTTGATCCTTCGCGCTTGGAGGTTTGGACGATGACGCCTCTGATGATGAGCCAGGTGTCGATTTCGAGTATGACCCGTAAGACTTCGGTGAAGAGGACCTCGAAAAGGGACCCTCAGTCGCTGAAGTACCAGCAGCTTCATACGATCGATATCCCCCCGACCTGTGTGGCGGGTTGGGGTCTGTTGCCCAGGATACTTTGGGTGATGATGATTTTGTCGTGCTTTTGTAATGATAGTCATCATTCTCATAGTTTCCATCAGGGTTTGTCTCGTTGTAATTGTCTGGATCATTGTTTTCCTCGCTTTGCCGCCGGAGCACGCCTCTTCTCGCTGGGCCATTCAAAAATGTTCCTGTAAGTCTTCCTACCCTTTTCACACGAAGCGAACTATGAATGCCCAGATCCTCTCCATTCCGACTCCGCAATACCGAGGCGGTGCCCAGACGTGGTGCGTAATCATCTTCATATTTTACTCTCCTTCCATCTTCGAGGCGACTTGCGCTATCATGTTCTTCAACAGAGCTCCTATCAGCTGATCGCCTTTGGGAGGGCGATATAGACGCGGGGGATCGCGTGCTACTACGTGACCCAGTGATGCGAACACTGCGATGCCTTGGAGCTGGCGTAACAAAATCATGCGAACTTCCCCTCGCTTCAGAGTCGGCATCCTCACCGCCTGAAACATGCGATCCTTCTCTTCGAAACCTTGCGCTGCTGGTCAAGCCGGGTCCAATGCGAACGACCCGAGGCGCCGGGCTCCCAGTCGACCGGTCGTTGGGAGATGCTGTACCGCGGGAGCGCCTCTCTTGGCTCGTCGATGCTGAAGCTACGCGATCACTCTGATAACGATCGCTTTGGCCATTTTGGTGTAGGCGAGGAGATAGGTCTAACCCATCTTCATCAAGCAAGGCTTTGACGGAAGCACTGAATTTGGGTTCTGGAACCTCGTCATCGGAGCTATCGCCGGCAGAGTAACGCTTGGACATTGATAGTTCATTGCTTCTAAGTGCGGCCGAATTCTGCAATTCCGGTGACGTGCGCCTGGAGCCGGTGCGAGAGACCGAGGCGCGGGACATTTGTCGGGATGACGGCTGTCGATGGAGACTACCCGTATATGCTGTGGAGAGGGAGTTAGTGGAAGCCATCATAGCGATTCAAAGCGAGGCCACATGGACGCGTCCGCCAATGCGTCGGTCCCGCTGCCCAAGAAATACAAGTAGGCACTGGCCGCCAGGTTGTCGACTTTTACTTGTTGTGTATACCGGTCGGAGATCAACGTACTGGAAGAAACAACGTTACGGGAGGCTGGGGAGCGGGTGTTCTATCACGTGATAGGATGTTGCCACGGCAATGGTGGGATGACAACAAAGCATGCAGTTGCCACTTGAGTGCGGACTCCATCCACATACATGTATGTATCTTCTACATCATGTAGATACATCATCATCTACTCCTTGACCGGGCGTTTTGCTACCTCAAGAGCCACTGAGCCGCTTCCATAGTGTCACACATAATGTATTGTAGATAATGGAACTGGGGCATGGTTTATATGTCACGCCAAGTTACACCTTCCTCCAATAAAGTACTTAAATTTCGCCACTATGTATAGGTTGAGTATGGTCCTACCATCAATTCACTCGCCTTTCTAAGTTTCGGGAGTCAAACGTCAAAACAACCCTATTTAGATTAAATTTCATCTGAAACTCACCCTAAAACCTTCTCGGATGTATTCTCAACGAACATGGATATCTCTACCTAATATGTTCGCTACACACAGGAGGTTTAGCATGGAGCTAACACGCCGAGGGTGAAGCAGTAGTGCTGACAGCCCAACGCATGGCCGGTTTCTTAGTTAATAGTTAGTTAACTAACTAGTTAGCTGCAAGTCAATTACCTAACTACCCTTGCTACATAGTTATAACTACTCGTTACTGTAGCTATTATGAGTAATGTTCATGCATATGTCTAATTAAACAATCATACGATGGTTACTTTACCCTCAGGCAAGTGGACATACTTACGGCAAGACTCGGCTTTCCTTCGGGAGCAACTGAAGTGATAGGTCCAATGAATATGTGGTGGCTATCGAGTCTGTATCATTGCAGGAGTTATTAAGTTAATCGCTCGCAATTTGGTAACTAATTTGAGACCCCCCAAGATAATGCAGCGTAGTATCCCGACATCGACCAAATGTCGGCATTTCCATGGGCTCGGAGAATGGCCGAATTTCTCTGCTGCACCATGCATGTTCTATGCATCGATGCAAGGGTGCGCACAGATTACATATACTAATAGCATCAATCAAAGCTGGATACCACCGTTTTCAGGCACATTACTCTGTACATATGGAGTGTACTGTTTTCAATGTGTTGGGTTTGTATGTGTAGAATACAATCTGAGTAGTAGACCTGCACCTGACAATAGATCACCTGAGAGTCACCTGCTTCCAAAAGCTAGAATGAACTTGACTAGTCGGCATCCAAGGATCTTTTCCGATCCTCTTCTCCTCGCATCCAAGGAATTCCCTCCATGACGGTAACTTTAGCTGATAAGGTTACAACCTTGAAGAACCTCTATGACCGAACTCAGTTAATATGCCGAGATACGGGTGTTAAAGTTTTCAGAGTTTCTTAGAATAGAGGGAGAACGAGAGGGATCCAGTCCGAGCTGCAGGTGATGAAACTGCGAACCCCCCGTGAGTCCTCCACTTTTGTTACAGAGTCGAACAAACACTGAGGTCAACTTTCTCGATTAGGCTTGATCGCGCGGATTCGTCACTGAGCGCGATCTGAGTCTGGTTCCCATCGGTTAAGGCGGCCAAACGGGGCAGCTCAGGCCACTCAGAGGGGGTGGGGCCTCAGGAACCAAGGCCACAAGAGCACATGGACGCATGGATCCAGGAACGCCCTTACTTGGGTAATGATCTCCAAGGGCAGGCTATCGGGAGGACTAGCATTCAACTATTGTGGACTATGACGGTGAATATGGCCTGGACCGCTGCAGGTCTCCTTTATCCTCGACGATTGTGAGTCTCTTCCACACTATCGGTTTCCTTCGACTCTCAACCACGAGTACGGAGAATTCCTGTTTTTGAGGTCTCGACGTCGACCAATGCTGGGAGGGTGAAGCAAGCCAAGACTCTTAGTCTACTGCACCACCGTCTTTGGTCCCTGACTAGTGCCCGAACTGGTAAGTCCATACCACAATTTTCAGCTACACCCATGACCCTAAGGAGACGGGGTTCTTTCTTCTTACGTGACTCTGTACGGGGAACCCTTTCGAAAGGAACTAACCTAGGTTTCACAGTGCCCACTAAACCCCAGTCTTTTTTTTTTTTTTTTCTGTTTTTATTTTTGATTTTCTTTTCTAATGACAGTGTTCATTCCTTCCCTGGAGAAAACCGTCGCTAACTATAATTGATCGATGTCGTATTGGCTAACACTCGCGATAACTCGATAGGTTGATAAGATCATGTCTGCTTTTTATTTGCATGTGTGTACTCCGAGAGTATGTATGTACTCTGTACACTCGGTAGGAAAATCCTTTCAGTGATTTTCATCCGAACTCCCCCTTTCAGCAGGCGGTGTTTAAGCTTTATGCAACACATTAAAATCATTGAAGCACTCTAACGCTGCATTGACCATGACGTATTCCTGCCTCCATGGCCTTCTGCGTATTCAATCGCCAATGTATCTTGACTAGGACTTGACGAACCTCACGTCTTACGGTGCCTCGAGTCAATAAAAAGCTTATAGAGCAACAATCCGAGGGCAAAACACCGGTCGTGGTGATCATCCATGGGTCGACTCGGGGGTGGACCGGTTCTACGATTATCGCTTTCCTTGCCAAAAGGAGAGTGGGCGATCTTTCATTATTGGTCAATGTCAACAGCAAAGCCGCAGTAATCTGTTTTCTGTTGACACTGCTTGCTAACCAACCCCTGGAGTAAGTTACTATCTACGGCACAATAGTATTTTTTTTTCAACTTTTTACCCTTCTCCAACGCTTCCTTCTAGTGCATGAACTCCACCTGAATCCACCAATTTTTTTTTCTTTCTTTCTTTTTGATTTCTATTCTTTTCTCCGACTTCCGTCGACTCCTACGGAGTAGTCTTCTCCTCCCATGCTTTGGCGCTAATATGCTTTGAATCAATGGCTTCATCGTACTAGTTCATTTTTAGAACAGCCTAGGCTGAGGAATTGATTGAAAGGGCCCTTGGTCTGTGATGAATACTATCCCACAGACTGCCGGGCTCTGGAGAATGCTGGGTAAGCTGCCGAAGGATAGCCTGTGATCCAGTCTGGCGACCCGCATGGTTCGGATTTCAAGTTAGCGAACCCCGTTGCCTGAAATAGTATTCTCGTCCTACTTGGTGTGTTTCGAAGGTTTCCACATTAAACGTTAGCTCAGTGTCATTTGCTTTCCCACTGGCAGTTAGGGATCCACCCGGCTAACTTGGCCTTGAAGATCCGGCTCGATCACGGATACTCCAGTTACTCCCACTCTCCCAGGGGCCGTGTGCTAACTTCCAGTGAGGGAAAACCGGGCTGGGGTGTGGTCTCCATCGCACAAGGTAGTAGTAACCATGGAAGCAGACGCCTCAGGGGTATATAAACCCCAGCGAAGATCACCTCTCTCTGAACATCAAGCCTTCGTCAATCGCTTCACTTGGTCTCTTCAGTCGGGGCCTGCCTTTCATTTTCTTTTTGTTTGATATTGTTCTTTCTTTTTACCAGTCTATCGTTAACAAACTTTGGTTGCTAACAGCCAGTCTTTTCTCTTATCTTTTCTGCTTTCCTTCAAGAAGTCATTCGCCGACGTCTTCCTAGACTTGCATTACACATTCGTTGCTATTCTAGCATAATGCGTGCTAACAACCTTCTGTTGCTCGCCGGTCTGGCGAGCTCCGTTGCTGCTTACCCCACCGATATCGAAAGCCGTACTCTTGGCCCCCTTCTGGAAGGTATTGGCAAGGGTATTGTCGTTATTGGTGAGGGTGTTGGAGAGGGGATTGAGGATGTCACCAAGGGCTTGGCCGACTTGATCAGCCTCCTCTTCGGTGACAGCAGTGGTCACACCACGGTAACCATCCTCGAGGGAATCAGCGCTCAGGCAGCCGCGGCCCTCCAAGGTGGTGCTTTGGGATGCACTGCTGGTACTATTCATGCCGATGCACGTGCAGAGTTGGTGGCATGGCTCAAGGCTCATGCTGAGTTCGATGCCTCCTTGAAGGCAGCCCTCGTGGCCTGGGCCCAGGGCGGAGCCTCTGCCACCTTGTCCGTGGATGTCTGTGCTGGACTATCATTGTTCATCCCCACTTGTGCCGACATCGCCGCTAAGGGTGATCTGTATGTGACCCTTGACGGTATCTTCGCCGCAACCGATCTTGCTGCCGAAGTTGTGCTCAGCGCTTCGGCTCAGTCTTCGCTGTCTACCTTCCTCTCTGGACACCTTGGTGTTGGTCTCGATGTCGACATCAGGCTGGTCTTGGTCTCTGTGCCGGCGGTGGTCTTGTTGCCGATCTGGCCGCGGACGTCAAGGCTGCCCTGAAGGTTTGGCTCTCTGGCTCAGAGTGCACCTTGAGCCATTCGTTGAAGGTTTCTGTTCTGGCTTGGTTGGAGGGCAAGATCGAAACCGGAGTCGTCTCGATTGGCTCTGTTCCCTCTGGTGGTTTGGCGACTATCTCCGCTGGTGCTGCTATTGGCAGCCTCATTGAAGAGTCTGGAATTCTGGTTGCCAGTGCTCAAGCTTCCCTCTCTGCCTTCCTCGAGGCCGACATTGCTGCTAACCTTGAGGTTGAGATCCTGACCGCTCTCAAGGCGTGTGCTAAGGGTGGCCTCGCTGCTGATCTCAGCGTTGAAGTCCGTACCGCTTTGGCTATCTGGCTCTCTGGCTCCAGCTGCCGTCTTGGTGCCGAACTTAAGTCTGTTGTTCTGTTCTGGCTTACCTTTGCTGTTTCTGCTGATGTCGCTGTTGATGTGAGCGGTGGTCTTCTCACTGATATCACCTCCTTCCTCACCGGAACTGTTGACACCCTTATCGGCACCAACCTCCGTGGTGTGATCTCTGTTCTCATCTCTGGCGAGAGCCTCGTCTCCATTTCCATCGACGCTCGTGCTCAGCTCGCTGCCGTCTGCGGTGGTGCTGCTGGTATTGAGATTGATACTCAGATTATCCTCATCCTCATCCAGTGGCTCTCTGGCTGCGACACTGGGTCTGGCGCCCACATCCGCCCCCCTACTTCCGGCTCCGTTGTTCCCAGCATTCCCGCTTCTACGCCTGTTGCCTCTACTCCCGCTGCCTCGACTCCTCTTGTGCCCACTGCTATCCCTACCAGTGCCGGTGCCACTGGAAGCAACGTTCCCTCCGTCCCCGCTGGCTCTGCCACTACCGGTGTTACTTCTGGTGTCACCTCCGGCTCTGTTATCCCTACTCCTAGTGGCCCGGCTCCCAGCGATGAGGCTAGCACCACTCCCTGTGACACCATTACTTCTGAGACTGTCATTGGCAGCGCCACCACTGAGTATCCTTCCAGCCCTGTCCCCACTGATGTCAGCCCTACCGGTTCTGAGTCT